ACCTGCCCCAGCTGCCTGCCCATGTTACAACTGGTTTGGTTTCCCTTTTGGAATGAAACCCGAGCATGTGGAATATCACCTTTCATAGGGGCACCCGCGACATAACGTCAAATAGGCAAGAGTCAAGAAATCCAGGGCTCTAACCGACACGCTGTCCTTTTACTACGCAGGTGGTGCAGGGGGGCAGGCAGCTCGCAGGACAAGCTAGGGTGTCAGCAGACGCGGGCCTTCTCCTCCCCGCTCTGCAACCCAGGTGGCGCTACCCAGAGCTGTGCTACACACGAAGTGTTACCGTCACGTCTCTCAGGTTACCGGGGGGTTTGGTCCCATGCCTCCGCACAGAACTTGGTCTTACCAACGTTCTGCCATTTCTCTCACACTGAACTACAGCCAGTAAATCTCACTCCGCCCCACAAAAACACCCCACCCCCTCCGCCAAGCACTTGGATACTTGTGCCAATGGAGCCTGAATCTGTAGGGACAAATGGTCACCAGTGCAGTGGGGAACAGAGTAGACTGAGATCTAGAGGCGACCAGGCCACACCAACATTGTTAGATGGGAGGCTCAACCCAGACTGAAGATATAAGGAGGGAGGGGCCTAGATCTGACATGAAACGCAAGGGGATGGGACATTTGCAGTGCAGCTTACCGACGAGGGCAGTCCTGGAGGCACCTTCCGAACCTTTTTAGGCTGCCCGTCTGGGATGGAAAAAATAGAAGAGGTAAGAACAGAGGCTATGATACCACTTTTGAAAGGGCTGGCTGCTGACGCTACTGGGCACAAGACCCACCGGAGCTTAGAGGCTGGTCACAAAGCGTGGCGTGTGGCAAAGCCACCAATGACAGACGACAGCATTATGAGCACCACGTTGATTACAACTCCTTGGTAATGCTGTATGAAAGGAAACTGACTGGGGGCATAGCATGTGGCAATGCTGCAGGTCGGACTGCTCCTGTTTTCTGCGTGTTCTCTTTACAACAGAGTTCTCCTGAGATCAATTGACCCGAAAACATTTAAATTCCCCCTCTCCAGCTGCTGCTGTGATAGCAGAGGTTCACTTATCCCAGGATAAAGGGCCATGCAGAATCTATGGATTTGGAAAGGGTGCCAATCAGTTCATTAAGGGAGGTTGGGGGGGAAGAAGGGAAAGGAATCAAACAATGCAAGGTCTGGCTCACTTCACAGCCTGAACGCAAGTGAACGCAGCCATGTTGCTCCTTAATGTGCTTAGCAAAGTGCACTGTGACAGGGTGCCAGGCTCTTGGGCCCCCCCAAAGATGGAGAGCTACTGGCCTGACTCACCCCGGCACACAGAAGAGGTGGGTCTCAGATGCAACTCAGGGGAATAAACAATATACTCTAGGGGGAAAACCCTAGATGCAGCCAGCTCAGACAAAGGGTTTATGGGTTTTTGCCTTAAGAATTAAGACTAACCCCTAGTTTGATATGAGAGTTTTAGATACTAAATACAACACATTGGCTGTGCTGAGTGTAAGCCAAGAGACTCTGCCCATTCAAACTCAACAGAGAAACGCTCAACCCATTTAAACAGTGGGTGTGAAAACCTGAAGCAGTGACAAAGTGTTCTGTAATTAATTAAGCTGTGACTGTCCATGCAAATACCTTTACCTGCATTCCCCTTTCTAAAAATAACTAGAAAACTGCATGAAGGATCACATTGCATCTGGCTCCATTTGCAGTGGAAAGACTAAAATAGCAGCAATAAAACAATTTCAGATGGGGAGAAGGGTGTGACCTGACCAGATAACATCAGCTCTGGAGCATGAGAGCTTGTCTACACTTGAAAGTCAAAGTTACACCCCATCTTAATCCTCATTAAAGCAGAAGAGCTGTTCCCGAGTATCTCCACGTGTGGATACATTTACTCCAGAGTAAGAGCACTTTGTCCAAGACATTTTTCTTCTTCCAGAGTAAGAGGCCACAGGTGGAGTTACTCAGGAACAGCTCCCCAAGGAGTTAGACAAGACCTTAGAGGCAAAAGGCACAATGCAGATGACTATCTGACAATCAGGACTCTGTTTCTTACTGTAGCTTCTAATACTCATGATGTTGCTGTACAACTCCTGGCAGCCAATGCTCCCTGGGTCAGCTTTTGTATAAGGGCCACTTGAGCGGAGGCTACAGCTGTAAAGGTCGGGGGTGGGGGGAACGGACTCTCGTGGGATGATAGCCAAGAGCAGGTGTTACTAATGATATTAAGAGCCCAACTGGACACACGGTAGGGCAGAGCTGCAGAACCTTTTTTGGGTCTAGGGCCACCGACCCACAGAAAAATCACTTGGGGGCCACACAAGTGAGAAACAGAAAACAAATAAAATCCTCACAGATGTGGCCCCCAACTGAGAAGCAGGGATGTGGGGTCTGGGCAAGAAGGGGGTGCAGGAGTGGACTGGGGGTGCAGGGTCTGGGTGGAGCTCACAAGTGGCTCTATGTAGCTCTGCACCCTGCAGCAAAGTGCTCCCTGCAGGCACTGAGCCCTGCCACTCCCCTGGGCAGCAATTCCCAGGTAATGGGAGCAACAAGGGAGAGTGCCTACACTATGGATTTGGAAAGGGTGCCAATCAGTTCATTAAGGGAGGTTGGGGGGGAAGAAGGGAAAGGAATCAAACAATGCAAGGTCTGGCTCACTTCACAGCCTGAACGCAAGTGAACGCAGCCATGTTGCTCCTTAATGTGCTTAGCAAAGTGCACTGTGACAGGGTGCCAGGCTCTTGGGCCCCCCCAAAGATGGAGAGCTACTGGCCTGACTCACCCCGGCACACAGAAGAGGTGGGTCTCAGATGCAACTCAGGGGAATAAACAATATACTCTAGGGGGAAAACCCTAGATGCAGCCAGCTCAGACAAAGGGTTTATGGGTTTTTGCCTTAAGAATTAAGACTAACCCCTAGTTTGATATGAGAGTTTTAGATACTAAATACAACACATTGGCTGTGCTGAGTGTAAGCCAAGAGACTCTGCCCATTCAAACTCAACAGAGAAACGCTCAACCCATTTAAACAGTGGGTGTGAAAACCTGAAGCAGTGACAAAGTGTTCTGTAATTAATTAAGCTGTGACTGTCCATGCAAATACCTTTACCTGCATTCCCCTTTCTAAAAATAACTAGAAAACTGCATGAAGGATCACATTGCATCTGGCTCCATTTGCAGTGGAAAGACTAAAATAGCAGCAATAAAACAATTTCAGATGGGGAGAAGGGTGTGACCTGACCAGATAACATCAGCTCTGGAGCATGAGAGCTTGTCTACACTTGAAAGTCAAAGTTACACCCCATCTTAATCCTCATTAAAGCAGAAGAGCTGTTCCCGAGTATCTCCACGTGTGGATACATTTACTCCAGAGTAAGAGCACTTTGTCCAAGACATTTTTCTTCTTCCAGAGTAAGAGGCCACAGGTGGAGTTACTCAGGAACAGCTCCCCAAGGAGTTAGACAAGACCTTAGAGGCAAAAGGCACAATGCAGATGACTATCTGACAATCAGGACTCTGTTTCTTACTGTAGCTTCTAATACTCATGATGTTGCTGTACAACTCCTGGCAGCCAATGCTCCCTGGGTCAGCTTTTGTATAAGGGCCACTTGAGCGGAGGCTACAGCTGTAAAGGTCGGGGGTGGGGGGAACGGACTCTCGTGGGATGATAGCCAAGAGCAGGTGTTACTAATGATATTAAGAGCCCAACTGGACACACGGTAGGGCAGAGCTGCAGAACCTTTTTTGGGTCTAGGGCCACCGACCCACAGAAAAATCACTTGGGGGCCACACAAGTGAGAAACAGAAAACAAATAAAATCCTCACAGATGTGGCCCCCAACTGAGAAGCAGGGATGTGGGGTCTGGGCAAGAAGGGGGTGCAGGAGTGGACTGGGGGTGCAGGGTCTGGGTGGAGCTCACAAGTGGCTCTATGTAGCTCTGCACCCTGCAGCAAAGTGCTCCCTGCAGGCACTGAGCCCTGCCACTCCCCTGGGCAGCAATTCCCAGGTAATGGGAGCAACAAGGGAGAGTGCCTACAGCTTCCTCCCCATGCCAGGCAGAGCCCACAGGTCACATCTGGCCTCTGAGGCTCGGGTCCCCACCACTGCGGGGAGAAGGGGAGCCCTGAGCTTAGTGGGCTCAACTGAAGCAAGTTGTGGGCTGAATCCAGCCCATGGGCCATAGGTTCCCCACCCCTGCCTTACAGAGTCCTGATTTCCACAGGAAATCTGCCTCAGGATGGGCAACCCAAACCACAAGTCTCTCTCGGAAATCTTGCCAGAAGAGTGGAGGGAATCCCACATCTCTAAGATGCTCCATGGCCCAGTCGGGCAATGACTTTTTCAATGTTTGCCAGATCCACATCTATGTAACCCTGTGGCATTGGCATGCTGAGCTCCGAGAACACAGATCTTGTTTCTGTGTCATGAATGGCATCAAGCCAGTAGAGTATTTCTGTGGCCAACGGGGCCAACTGGACCAACGTACAGTGCAAATCAAGAGAAAAGACATCCTGGTCTCATTATCCCAGAGTCGGCACTGCTGCTCCAGAGGGACGTGCATGGTGACTTACCGATGTTGCTGTCAGCACCTCTCCTACGAGGGTTGTTTGGGTAAGAATAATACTGAGACCCTCCCTTCACCCCTGTGGGGGAAAGCGTAGTAGGACTTGCAATTCCCATTTCACTGGGCAGGAAACCAGTCTGCAAACAAGGAGACACACAAACCCTTCCATGTAATTATGCTGTAAAACCATCAGAGTCATTCAGCGAGAACAGAAGCTGCCTTGAACACCTCCAACTAAAATCAAACCAAAGAGCCATAAAAGAGGCAAAAAGGAACAGCCCACAGGAAAAAGGAACTCCAAAGATGCTCAACGCTAAATCTACGCTAGGGATGTCGAATCCCGTTTAATTGGTTAATGTGTTAAACATGTTTAACCGATTAGCTGATTAAAGGGGGGGGGGGTGCGGAGAGGGTCTTATGGTCACAGCACTCCGGACTTGGGCTTAATATCCTGGTACACCACAGACTCCCCGTGCCTCAGTTCCCCTCTACAAACAGAGGATAACAACCCTTCCTTTCATCTCCCTTGTGTGTTCAGACTGTACTCTTTGGGACAGGGACTGCCTTCCCACAGCACGTCTATACAGCCTCCATCACAATGGGGCTCCAATCTCAGATGGGCCCACTTGGGGCTACTATGACTCCTTTAACTACTCTGCAGAGCAAAGCCCTGGCTAAAGGCCTTTTAGCACTTCAGGTGAGCCAATGACCGATTTTACTTTGGAAATTCTATTCGAACCAAAGTTTTTCCTCACCCTGCTCCCTCCGCCTCAATTTACAAGCAACCTGCAGCCAGAATTTTCAGTCACCTGTGAGCGGGGGGCTGGGGAAGCACTGGGAGGGGTTCCCTAGGGAGGGGGTGGAATTTCCATCCCTGGAGGTTTCTAAGTCCCAGCTTGACAAAACCCGATTGGGATGATGGAGTTGGGGTTGGTCCTGCCTTGGGCAAGGGGGGTTGGACTTGATGATTCCTCAGGTCTCTTCCAGCCCTAGGGGACTCTGATTCTAGGTGCCTAATGGGGCACACACGTTGGAGGGGCCTGATTTTCAGCTACCGCTGAGCACCCACCACTCTGGAAATCAGGCTCCTTTGAGGCATTTCGAGCCATTTCTTCTGAAGACATGGCCAGGAGCTGAAGCGATGGCAATTCTGGCTAGAAAGGAGATGCAATTTCTAACAGCATGTGGATTTTAACAACTGACCTGGTGGATTCCCCATCATGCAAAGTCTTTACAGCAACACTGACTGGCTCAACCTGCTCTAGCTCAACCACAAGCTATCGGCTGGTGGCAGGAGTGATCGGGTGACCCTCCCTGGCCTGTGGTATGCAGGTGGCTCAGAGCAGATGATCAGAATGGTCCCTTCTGGCCTTAAAGACGACTTTAAGGCCAAATTTGCTGAGTTTGCCAGAGCGGATATCAGTGCTCACTAAGGCCCGTGGGATAAGACAGGAGAACTGTGTGCCTTTAGAACAGCAGTTTGGCTTGGTTTGTTGTAAGCAGAAAGTGTTTGCTGTGTCTAATCTGCACCACAAATACCTACACTGTTTCAACCTGTTCCTTGCCTCCCATCTGGCAAAAGGCCAATGGTTGCAAGCGGGTTCCCAATCCCCCGCACAAGCTGCTTGAGGGGTGGGAGACTGTAAAACAGGTTACCAGGAGATATTTATGCCTTCCCTAACAGGGGGTCTATTGGCACAGGCTGATTATTGCCACGCAATATTCATGTCTAGCACCTCCAGATCAGCAAAGGAGTTAAGTACCAATCCCCCAGTTTGATATATGGGAAACAGAAATGCAGAGAGAGAAAGGGACTTGCCAACGGTCACCCCGCAGACCAGTGGCAGAGTCACAAACAGAACTTAGGTCTCCCAGCGTCTCATTCGCTGTGCCATGCTGCATGGATCGTGTTTCGGGGAGCGTTCACAAGCAGCATCCGTGCAGTCTGAAGCAACGATTAACCAAAATTCCAGCCTATACAATGCTGCAGCAGAACCGTCTGTTAGGTTGTATGCGTCTTAAAAATAATTCTCAGCCTCTCCTCCTCTTTTGACCATTAGAAAGGAAACTCAACCCCCTCTTTTTTTTAAAAAAAAAAAAAAAACAAGGGGGGAAAAAAAAAAAGAGAGAGAAAACTCCTCTGCTGTTTAGACAAACTGACCTTGGAAGCTGTGCAGAACAGCGCAAACCCAGCGTTCAATGCAACACAGCACGAGTTTCACAAACCAAAGCACCTTCACATGTTCAAAAGGGAGTAGCCCATGTGCAGAGTCCAGTAGGGAATGTGGGTTGTTTTATTTAGCTTAAGAGAACGGTTTACTATATTTATCTGGAAATTTAGGGGGGTGGAAAAGGGTCTAGAAATAATAAAATCTTATTCCCTGTGCATCTTCTGAGGCTGATAAATGGCAGTAAAGGAAGATTTCAAGCTTTTCGGAAACTGGTAAAAATGTTTATAGCTGACTAGTGAAAAAAGACAGCTCTGAAATCAGTCTCTTCCAAACGGGGGTTGGGGGGGAAGATCATGTATTCACAGCTGGTAAAAAAATTCTTGCAATCTGTTCCACTGGTCATATTACCTTTGTGTGAAAAGTCTGCACATCATGGAGCCAAGAGAAGTGAAAACCTGAGCATCCCAGAAGAGACCACAAAGGGATAGCATGGCTAGTCGTTCCCGTTTTGCTCCTTAAACAGGTAGTTCAAGTGTTTTGGCAAAACGCTTACTGCCTTGCTTTCCAGGGAGCTGCTAAGGGAATTAGGAATTCCCACACCCCCATGCCTGTACTGCTGGCAGGCAGTTAAGGGTTAAATGACAGAGTGGGTTGGAGACCCCCTCCCCCTATCTGGAGCATGCAGAGCTGGGTGGTTTAGTAAGGAATGTGCTCTTCTCTGAAGCTCCCTGTCCAGTCCCTCCAAAGACTGAGCGTACACAATACATCTGCTGTGCTCCAATTCTCAAAAGCTTTAGAAGAGGCACTACTAGCCAGGCAGGTTAGAAACTCAGCCCAAAGTAACAACTGTTCCCAGAGTTAGACAGAGAGCAAGCACTACAGATACCAACTGCTTGGCTCCTTGATGTTCGACTACAACATAATTTTGGTGCCTACCCTCTATCAGACCGCTCCGCCAAAGGCAGGCGGGAGAGTTCCAGCAAACGGTCTCCTGCCGACTGCTATCTGATCTGAACCCACCCGCCCCCTCAACACTTCCATGCAAGAGGGGCCTCTTCTAGATTGCAACACCACCTCTCCCCCCTCGTTTTTTTGTTACTCTATATCCCCCTTTCTCCCTCCTCCTCCCCCCGCCTCCCCCAAATAAAACCTCCACAAAATCATAACATTAAAAAGCAAGGCCTGGCATCTGTCCCATTTTTATTTTAGCAGCTTCAGTGGTAAATTAAATCCACTCTGGCACAGCCAAACAGCACAGCTGTTTCAGCAAAGGAAACATCCTCACTTCAGAGAAGAGGAAATTATGACAAATTTGTGCAAAATTAAAACACGTTTTTATAAAAAGTTGCCTAGCCAACAGCCGCTCAAGTGAATGCAGCGGCCGGACTGTTTACACTACAAAAGCACTAGCACCATGGCGCAGTGTTCACAAGGGGCGGCCTTTGTAAAACATGTCTGAGCTGGGGTACCTGCTTCTTCCCAGAAGAGTTAACTTAGGGGACTGGTGGCAAGAGGCTGGATAACTTGCCTTTTCCTAACTCAGTTCCAGTTAGATGGTCTCCTCCGATGGCACAGCCCTATACATAAGGGCGTCAACAAGTCACCCCCAAACTAGTAGCTGGTACGGCTCTGTAAGAGCCACATGCGAGCCAAGCGCAGTCCCACGGACTTCAGGATTGGGGTCCATATCTAAGCTGGTTAGACAGAAATGGCTAAAAACAGCAGCATGAATGTTGTGGCATGGGCTAGCCATCTGCATACTACTACCCCACCTGACTCCTGGGTCTGGACTTGGGTGTCTAGCCCATGCCAATATGTCCACAGTGCTATCTTTAGCACGCCAGCTCCAACAGAGGGAGCACTAGCCTGTCGACATAGGCTGGCAGGTGCATTCCCGGATGTAACAGACACATTTTGAGCACCTCAGACACCCACTGGTTCCCAGGGAGCCGCCTGTTGCCTCGTGCTGCTGCATCAGAGGCAGCAACGCATGGTGGCAGGTGGAAGCAGGTACATGTGGGGAATTGGCTTAAAAGCTGGCTCATCACTCCCACTGGCTCCCAGGGAGCTAACTGTCACCCCACCTGTAACCGCTGACATTTTCAGCAGTCACACAGTTACTATTTACCCGACTCGAAAGCAGGCCTTTCCTTCCATCATTCTAAGAAACGCTTAAGAAACAACAAATAGTCTAGTAGTGCCTTAAAGACTAACAAAACATTCTAAGAGCAAGTTGCACCTTCCTTTGGGAAAGCCATTTCTTGAAAGTTAGTGAATTACGTTGCCTTTTTTTAAGCATTTAAAATACCATGAGATTCACCATGGGACTTACTGAGCCAACCCCGGGTGAAAGGAAGATAGGAATGCAATGGGAAAACAGCGAGGGGCACACTGAATTTAGGTTGCGAGTTCCCAAGAGCCCTAAGAGATCTGCATACTAAAACTCACATTAACTTTAATGGGGACTGGGTGCCTAAACCCTTCGGCAGCTTCATGGCTTTTCTACACAGTGTTCCCACAATTTAACTAACAGCATTACTTTAAATCAATTTAGTTAAATCAGTGTAAAAGCTGTGTGGGCACTTAAAGTAACAAAAAGCAGGCTTTATATCAATTTAACTTAAGTCTGTTAGATGAAGATTCAAGCTACACTGAAATAAGAGTCTAAAACCCTAAAGTAAGAGTCTGCATAGGATTCTGTATCAATTTAACTAAACTGATTTAAAAACTGACGTGGTGCAATTCGTGTGTACAAACAAGACCTTATACACTCTTCTTCCTTACTCCTGACTTTTCATTCAGCTTCTTAAAAATATTAAAGCATTTTTATTGCTGTATTAAGATTGTTACCTGATTTAGTCCTGGCATCCCCGTGTCTCTGCTGAACGTCGAGTAGGAAGCTCTTTCACCACTCTTCCCTACAGGTGAAGGAAAACAAACAGCATTTTGTATACATTTGCAGAAGGGGTTGAACACACCTTACAAAGCTGCACACACTTTAGCTCACAGTGCCTTTGGGCACAAAGCCCATCTTTAAATTTTGGCTTCTCTTGCCCTTCATCAGGATGTCAACTGAAGCAGATAATCGTTTGCTGCACAAACAAGAAGATCTTTTACCTTCAAGAACAGCAGGGTCCTTTTTTTAAAAAAATGGCAATGATGCAGGGGACTGCTTGTGGCCATGGAAACTGACGGTTTCAGAAGAGAGCAAAAAACCCCTCCAGACAAACTAAAAAAAGCCATCCTCATTTGGTGGAACCAGAAACAGAATAAACCAAAAGCTAAGCATGGCTGCCCAACAGAATCGGCATGCATTTTTCCATACAACAGCAAAAGTTATCTCCATGTGCAAAAAAGGATGTAATGCTGAACTCAGATTCTCACACACAACACACATCTCTTTGGACACTAAAACCTCCTGAAACTGGGATGGTCTTTAAGTGGCAACTATTTAGCTGAGAATTTTGACCTCCCATTTATACCCTGCCTCCTTTCCCTCTTGGGAACTCAGGTGTTCACAACTTCCATGGCTTGGGAGGAAATCCAGGTCCTTTCCTAACACTTAAGGAGCCTGTCTGAAAAGAAAAGCCTCTCTTTCTAGCTGCTGTTCACCAAGGGAATATGCCCTGGGAAAAGAAGGTTGAAGCCACCTTCCTCCACCACCAAGTACAGCTGGCTGGGAAATGGGCCGTGTGTTTAGTGAAAAATGGAAGGCAGAAATGTTTCAATTCTGAAACGCTGCTGTAGCCCCCTACGTGTCCCCCATTAGCGTATTCCCTCCCTCAGTTACCCCCGTATTCCCTCGTTGAGGGGGCGGGTGCATCATGGCAGTTTTATGGCCATACCGCATCCTAGAGGAGGTAGTCTGGCCAGAGAGTGTGGCCCTTAGAAAATGGGAGCGTGAGGCATCTGAACTGTAACTCCCACTCGACACGAAGACTAAATTTGCGAGGTTCCAAGCACACACAGCACCGGCCACAGGAGGCATAATGGGACTGAGGGGGGGCTGGGTTGGCACCACCTCACAGAACCAGGGGAGGGGCCATGAGGTGCGAGCGCTGCCCCTCTCCGAGGACTGCTGGACAAACGTTTCCGGCTCTGGCGCACACTCATGGGCGCGAATATGCTCTTCTACATCTACTCAAAGCACAACTTGCCATTGTTGTGCATTTGCTTTTTCAACAAAGAGCTGAAGTCTTCTGTGAAACACTGACTTCCTCCTCTGATGTAGGGAAGTAAACGGGTAACCAGCTAACTGGTGCCCAGCCGGAGCAGCCTCCCCCTCGCCCGTGCTGCAAGCAGGGGGCTGCTCCAGCCTGGCTGGGCCCATGGGCTTACATTGGTTTAACTCGTTAACATCTGAAGTGGGATTTTACATCCCTACTCTTATGGAGGAGACACAACCGTGTCTGGATGCGTCTTGAAACAGGCAAGCAGTGAGGGCCCAGGAGGACAGTACTTGGTTTTGAAAGGCCAGGTGGCGGCTCATACGACATTCTCCTTCTCTCTAGAATCCTCCAGGCATGAAGAGTTTGCTCCCACCTCAGACGGACAGCATGAAACTAGAAACCGCCCACATGCAGCAAAGGCCTGGGGGGGCTCAGAACAGCAACACCCGCCCAGAGAAAGACTCAACCTGCCACTTCTAGTGGAGACAGCATTTAACTTGGGCGCTGCGGGCCCTCCTCGCCCCTGCACTGTGGCAGCATCTTAGCGCTTCTTCCAAGCCACAGGTGTATTCAATGCACCTCACAGAGTAGGGTGGTAAAAAACGACAGCCCATGTTACTATTTTGTTCCACAGGCTTAAATGTTAAGTAAACAAGGGTCAAAATGTCATGGGGCAGATCTCTTAAATGACCTAATTTTTAAAAGAGCTTAAGAGCTATATTTGCTACAGACCCTGAAACTTCACAGAAATAACTCAACAGGTTGCGTCAGGCAGATCATGCTTAGTCCTAAATCAGAGGGAAACCAGGGTAATTCCAGAACGCTTTATCTGGTGAGCAACTGACCAGCTTCCCCACAGCAAATATATATCACTGTTTACAATATAACGCTTTGCCGGTTATGTGACTTCTAAAGTATCCTTCACAATTATCAGGTGGTATTGTGGATGGTCTTAAGGCAACAAACAACATTAATATCAAGTGTGCTAATGCGCGTAATGCAAAACAAAAATGAAATGACTGCACACCCAATTAAAATTGCAATGTCTTTTTTCAAACAATGTTCCATTTCTGCCTGACACTCTCCAAAGCTTTAGAACATGCACGCACATTTGTACACCAGGGCTGAATTTCACTTAACTCTTGGACTAGGAATCACTTGCTCCTGTCCAGCAGTCACCTCAGCTAATGAGCACAAAGTATGTTTAAAAAACCCCACAACTCTACTCCCAAAGCACATGGGATTGTAGAGTCTAATGCTGGTATCAATTAATGCAATAAATCTAATTTATGGGGGAGGCTCCTTGGGAGTGGGGCTGGAGCGCCCTGGCTGCTGGCCCCGCCCCCGCCTCCAAGGACTATAGAATAGTCGAGTAACGGATAAGAATTCATGCGGTTTCTTGACTATTCAATTAATCAATGTCTAACACCCCTAGATAAGAGGGAAGTGGTAGATGTGGTGCAACTAGAAAAAGCATTTGATAGTCTTGCATGACCTTCTCAATCAACTAAGGAAAAACCTAGATAGGGCTACTTTAAGGTGTGGATATAACTGGTTGGATAGCTACTCTCTGGGGGCAGTTATACATGGTTCATAGTCAGGCTGGAAGGGCATAACACATGGAATTCTGTAGGGATCAGTTTTGGGACCAATTCTGTTCAATATCTTCACCAAAAGATAATGGCAGAGTGTGAACTTCAAGTTTGCGGATGGTACCAAGATGGGAAGGGTGGCAAGTGCTTTGGAGGATCGAGTTATAATTCAGTATGATCTGGACAAATGTTCTGAGGCAAATAGTATGAAATTCAACAAGGACAGATGCACAGTACTCTACTTAGGGAGGAACAATCAGTTTCACACATACAGAATGGGAAGTGACTATCTAGGAAGGAGTACCGCAGAAAGGGATCTAGGGGGCATAGTGGACCACAAGCTAAAGATGAGTCAATAGCGTAGCACTGTTGCAATAGTGTTGGGATGTATTAACAGGAGTGTTGTAAGCAAGATAGAAGAAGTAAATTCTTCCGCTCTATGCTGCACTGATTAATAAGCCTCAACTGAAGTTTCAGGAAAGATGTGGACAAAATAGAGAAGGTCCAGAAAAGAGCAACAAAATGCCTTTGAGGGAAGACTGAAAGATCTGGGAAGGAGCAGACGGAGAGGGGACATGATAGCAGCTTTCAAGTACCTAAAAGGGTGTTACAATGAGGAGGGAGAAAAATTATTCTCTTTAACGTCAGAGAAGACAAGAATTAATGGGCTCAAATTGCAGCAAGGGAGGTTTAGATTGGACATTAGGAAAAACTTCCTAACTGGGGAGGATGTGGACTCTCTATCACTGAAGATTTTTAATAGCAGGTTAAACAAATCCATCAGGGATGGTCTAGATCCGTAGTGTCCAACCAGTTCTGAACTGTAGTGGCTACTGTTATAGCAAACTAGTCGCATTATTCAAGCCAATTAGCCACACACAACCAGCCAAACATGTGGCTAGTGTGCTGGACACCACAGGTCTAGATGGTGCTTGGTCCTGCCACGAGGGCAGGGGACGGGACTAGATGACCTCTCAAGGTTCCTTCCAGTCCTATGATCCTAGTACTATGATTCGATCGGTATTTTATTTTGGATATTGCACACATTTTTTCAAATTTTAGAGGCAAAATTGAGTTTGGGTGGACGTGGCAAACGTGGGCCAGGAAGCACGGCCTATGGGAGTTGCAGGGATGACGCTTGGGAGAAGAGGCAGCGTGCAGACCTGCCCTGGGCTGCTGCTTCTCAGGAGCTACCTCAGTTGAGCACTAATCAGACCTGGCACCCTGGGCCCCTTTCCACACCCCCAGCCCAGTGTCCCCTCCTGTAGCCTGAACCCCTCATTTCTGGTTGCACCCTGGAGCCTGCTTCCCTAGCTCAGACCCTACTCCGCCTCAGCCTGGAGCTCCCTTTCACTCAGCAACATTTGACTAACCGGCACCTCTCATGCTGGACAAAGCTTTTTCTGCTGAAGTTGCAGGGTTTCCCCTGCCCTTATTTCTCCTCCACCTCCCTCACAGCGCTGCTGGGGTCTGCATGACATGACTGTCACCAGCTTACAATAAGCAATTTCCCAACTCATTTCCTTCCTCCCCTCGGCACACCCTTCCCGACGCACACGCCTCGCCTGAAATGAAAACCCGTCCCGGCGAGGAGGTAACTGGCTTTCCACAGCCACACACCAGACAGACCGACTGCCATCCTCCGCTCGCAAGCACAGCTGAGCAGATTCTCGCGCAGAAAAAGAGCAGCATTTGAATTCACCCCAGCATCAGGAAACTTCATCCCAAAGGGTCACTTACCCCGACATCAGGAAACCCTAACACACCTTTCCTGGCATGTCACTAAGCATGATGCTGAGCTATACTGAGCAGCAATGATCAGCCGCCCCGGTCCTCCCCGCCACACACAACTGCTGCTTCCCCGGATATGAACAGCATCTTGCATTCCACAATGCAAGCTGGCCTGCCAGTTTAAACCAAGGTGCCATTTCAGAGTTTCTGAGCAAGCACAACTCAAGTGCATCGGAACAAGGCGAGAAAAGACGATTTGCGTTTTCTCTGCATTTGCAGATGAGCCTCCCTAGCGAAAGGCAGGTGCTTACAGCCAGGGAACATCCTGCAGTCTTTCCAGGCCCCTGGGAGTTCACACGTGAATGCCCTCAAATCACCCAGCCCCAGAAGCAAGAGGCACAGCCTCGTTCACGCCTTGCAGCCCCA